CTTGTAACGACACCACTCTTCCTTTAGTAATAACTACTTACGTTGTCCGGAACGACACCACTCTTCCTTTAGTATTAACTTACGTAGTCCTGTAGATTCCATTCGAGATGCTGTGTTGACAGTATCTCCAAACAAGCAGTAACGCGGCATCTTTAGACCCACGACACCAGCACAAACAGGACCTAAGAAAATAGGTGTATAAGTACACTAAGAAGCGCTGGATTAATATAAACACTACTATGGATACGTATATTAAAACGTGCGTGTGCTCGTATGAACAATTTAATAGTTAAAAGTAGCATTCGTGTAATATAAACGTAATATAATAATATAATAATAAGTGTTAAACTCTAACAACTAAGTTGTCTCATATGCCTGTCTTCATGAAGTTGGAAAACTGTTATTATGTTATCGTGATTTAAACAATTCCATTGAGTGAAACCGAAGGCTGGAACACGTAGGGTTTATTCGCACTTCGTACATCAACAGAAAGTAAGTCTTAAAATAAAATTTAACCCGTGGTACATTTAAATGCCAAAAGATGTCGCCACGTATAAAATAGCCAACGATCTTCGCAGATAAAGATTAGAAATACAAATTGGCGGTTACGTGATGTCATATATTTTTAAAATTTTCTACCAGCGTTACCATAAAATCTTTTTTTTTATTGGCATCATTATACAATCAGAAAAGGATATTTAACAAATACAATCTTGTAACGTTAAGCAAATAGCGCAAACATTATGGATGGCAAATATATTTTTTCTATTTCCGTCAAGAATATGTAAATCTACAGATAAAGAAAACATGAATCTTAGTTCACTCAAAGATGCAATTAAAATAGTTAATTAACGGGTGGAAGTAAGCCCTTAACCTATATTGTGTACACAAAATCCAATAATCTCATAAATATAAGCTATTGCAAAGCTTGATTGTTTGAAGCTAAGCACAAAGCTACACAAAGGGCTATCTGTGCTCTGCCCACCACGGGTATCGAAACCCAGATTCTAGCGTTGTACGTCCGCAGACATACCGCTGTGCCATTGGGGGTGCTAAACAAAGGAGACATAATATGACACGTAAGTAAATATCCTTTTAATGAAGGGACTTTTCGGGACATAAGGTGTTTGTTTGTTTGTTTTTTTCTACCAGATGACTGGAATCGTACATGAGTAGCTTTTCTTTTTAAAAAAAAGGAGTTACTTACCCGAGTGGATCCCTATTCTTAGCATCAGTGTTTCATTTGGCCTGTGTCGGATCGTAAATTTCCTTACAGCGTCCAGTAACTGCAGTGCCATGGATGCTATTTCTCCAGCGTGTTGGTCACCGTTTCGAATTGGAAGACCGCTGACTACCATGTAGGCATCACCGATTGTCTCCACCTTGTACACATCATAGTTTTCAATAATGGAGTCGAAACACGTGTAGAGATCATTCAGGAAATCAACCACCTAGAAGTATTAAAAACATGTATATATCATTCGGGAAATCAACCACCTAGAAGGATATAACATGTATATATCATTCAGGAAATCAACCACCTAGAAGGATATAACATGTAGAGATCATTC